TAAGAAAGCATTTTCTTGTAGCCTGCCTAAATTTGTTACTATTTATTTATTTTTTTTGGACTGAGGATCAACCCAGGGGTGTTTAACCACTGAGTCCCAGCCCCAGCCCTTTTTTATTTGGAGATGGGGGTCTCTCAAAAATGCTGAGGGTCTTGCTAAATTGCTGAGGCTGGCTTTGAACTCACGATCCTCCTGCCTCAGCCTCCTGAGCTACTGGAATTACAGGTGTGCACCCCCGCGCCCAGCAGTTTATCTTTTAATCCATTTTATATAAAACTAGAAATGCAGGAGCATCCAGCAGGCACTTTATCACTGTGACTGTTTTATACACTGGGTCTTAGGGTGACCTCTCTTTTTTCCCCTCTTAAAGCATTACCTCTTCTCCAGGGAAGGGGGTCCCCATCACATTCATTCTTTTTCATGAGGACGGCATTGTCTTCCTCCTAGGCCAGTACGTCTAAAGTCCTTTGCATCGTCCTTATTTTCTGTTCTGTGACTGAATCAGGGAAGCAAAACTGAACACAGGCAAGAACAAACCTGGTCACGCAATTGAACTTTGTTTTTGATCAAGACATTCTGCTAGGGTCTGGGCATCAGGTTTTTAAAAAATGCATAATGGGCTTTTATTTGTAACAAAAGTATGCCATTTACAAGAAGATGGATGGAACTTGAAAGATTTATGTTAAGCAAAATCAGCCAGACTCAGAAAGTGAAGCATGATGTACTTTTTTTTTTTTCTTTTACAATTTTCTTTTTTTGGTTTCATTTTAGTTACCCATGACACTAGAGTGTGTTTTGCCATATAGTACATACCTGGAGTGTGGCTTCCCGTTGTGGTGGTTGTACGTGATGTGGAGTGACACTGGCCGTGTATTCGTACACCAACATAGGAAAGTGATGTCCGGTTCATTCCACTGTCTTTCCCCTTCTCATCTCCCCTCCCTTCCTCCCACTCCCCCTGTCCACTCTGGAGAACTTCACTCCTCATCCCCCCAACATTGTGAGTCAGCATCGGCTTTGCATATCAGAGAGAACATTCTCATGGGACCCCAGTTAGTTTCTTTGAGAGTGAATTATTATAAAAAAGTAATACAAGACCCTTCCCTGGCTTCCTGTCTCACCATATGATTTCTCCCTCTTAGAATCACTTGCACCATTGTGATGCTGTTCAACAGCAGGCCCTTGCCAGAGTGGAGCTGATGCCAGCACCATACTCTTGAACCTCCAGAGCTGTGAATTAACTAAACCTTTTTTTCCTTATAACACATCCAGACTCAAGTATTTTGTTATGGCAGTGGAAAAAGGATTAATACTCATCTTAAAAAAAAAATTTGTGCTTCATTCCCCCCATCTACTTCATATAAGAAAATGGAAATCAACATGTGAAACTTTTAAATTAAAGCTTTATTGGTGTTCCACATATGGAATGTGATTCGATGCATTAATCTACAATGAACACACTCTAGATCCTGCTCCTTTCCAGGACAAGAAAAAAGTATTGCCAATGTTGCTGATTGTCCCTGTAATGGAATTCCACCTTCCTCCTTAAAGATAACTACATTCCTGACCTTTTTTCTT